CCCGTTTCCCATGGAATTCTCTCCCGGATTTCCCCCGTTTCCCCCGGACTTTCCCCCGTTTCCCACAGAATTCTCTCCCAGATTTTCCCCCGTTTCCCCCGGAATTCTCTCCCGGATTTCCCCGTTTCCCCTGGAATTCTCTCCCGGATTTTCCACCGTTTCCCCCGGAATTCTCTCCTGGATTTTCCCCCGTTTCCCCCGGAATTCTCTCCCAGATTTCCCCATTTCCCCCGGAATTCTCTCCCAGATTTCCCCATTTCCCCCGGAATTCTCTCCCAGATTTCCCCATTTCCCCTGGAATTCTCTCCCAGATTTCCCCATTTCCCATGGAATTCTCTCCCAGATTTCCCCATTTCCCATGGAATTCTCTCCCAGATTTCCCCATTTCCCCCGGAATTCTCTCCCAGATTTCCCCCACCTTTCATCTCCAGCATGACGGACTCGGGGACGTCGTCGCCCTCGTTCTGGCGCCGCCGCTCCAGGCGCTGCTCCCAGTCCGGCTCCGTGGGAACGATCACCACGACTTTCCTGGAAAACCCCTTGAAGGCCGAGAGCTTCCGGCGCTGCCCCGAGTTGTACACGTTGCACTGGGAATTCCCGGGAAAAAAAAAAACCGGGAATACGGGGGAAAAAAAAATCGGGAATTCCGGGTCAGGAGAGGGGATTTTAGAGGTGGGGTTTGAGGGGGTTTAAAGGGAATTTTTTTGGGGGTGTTTTGGGGTTTTCCAAGGGTTTTTTGGGATGGGTATCCCGGGGTTTTTCGGGTGGGTATCCCACATTTTTTGGGATGGTTATCCTGGATTTTTTGGGATGATTTCCAGGGATTTTTCAGGATGGTTATCCCAGATTTTTTGAGTGGTTATCCCACATTTTTTGGGGATGATTTCCGGGGATTTTTTGGGATGGTTATCCTGGATTTTTTGGGATGGTTATCCCAGATTTTTTGGGATGGTCATCCTGGATTTTTGGGATGGTTATCCCGGATTTTTTGGGATGGTTATCCTGGATTTTTGGGATGTTTATCCCGGATTTTTCGGGATGATTATCCTGGATTTTTTGGGATGGTTATCCCGGATATTTTGGGTAATTATCCCAGATTTTTTGGGATGGTTATCCCACGTTTTTTGGGATGGTTATCCCGGATTTTTCAGGATGATTCCCAGGGATTTTTTAGGATGTTTATCCCAGATTTTTTAGGATGTTTATCCTGGATTTTTTAGGATGGTTATCCTGGATTTTTTGGGACGGTTATCCCAGATTTTTTGTGATGGTTATCCTGGATTTCTCTGGGATTTTCCAGTTGTTTTGCCAGGGGTTTCTGGGATGGTTATCCCGGGTTTTTTGGGGACAGTTATCCAGGATTTTTCGAGGTAACTCTCCCAGATTTCCCTGGGATTTTGGGGCTGGTTCTCCCGGGATTCCTGGGTTATTTTTTCCCCAGGATTCCCAGGTTATTTTCCCACCATTCCCAGTTATTTTTTCACACAATTCCCAGGTTATTTTCCCAGCATTCCCAGTTATTTTTTTCCCAGGATTCCCAGGTTATTTTTCCCAGGATTCCCAGGATTTTTTCCCAGCATTCCCAGGATTTTTTCCCAGCATTCCCAGTTATTTTTTTCCCAGGATTCCCAGGATTTTTTCCCAGGATTCCCAGGATTTTTTCCCAGGATTCCCAGGATTTT